GGCTTACTCTTGAGGTCGCAGATGATCTGGTTTATTGGGATCTAGAACTTGGTATAGTTCTTGGTAGCCTGACCTCCTCTTGCCTGGGATCGGTCTTTACACTTGGCCCATTGCCTGCTTCGGTCGTTAGACTGCTTAATGCCTTGTTCGCTTGTCAAGCCTCATCCCAAAGCCCATTCTTCTCTGCTAGAGCAAATGAGCATGTCAGAGTCAAGTCTTCTTTCATGATCAATTCTCCGAATAGGGGATGATTTGCAGGGAGTCCCTTCTAGAAGGTTGTGCTAGCGATCAAGTCATTACAGCTGACTATCTTTGCCTTTTACACCTTGAACCTTATAGTCGAGGAGCAGCTCCTTCGAATTCTTCTTGATGTTGAAGAAATGATCGGACTTTTTCTTGATCAAGTAGTAGGATGAGTATTCCTTAGTGAAGACTATAAAAAGCTCATTGAAACTCCAGATAAACTATGGAGGCAGGGTATGGAACCAATCATGAGCCTCACCTTGCAAAATAGTGGCAAATATCTTGCACATTAAAGCACCGTTAGCCTTGTAGAGGATCATTACGCTGCGGTAGTGCTTTAAGTGCCTTTTCGGGCCTCCGTCTCTTTTAAATAAGGTGAAATATGGCATTTTGAACTTACACTAGGACTCTGTCTGCTTGATCTCGTCCATGAAAAGTATCTACCCATGTGTGCCACATCCCTGCGAAGAGCCTCGTCTGTGGTCTCGATGCGCTGGAATCGGCGTAATCGCTCAGTCATGAGCCTCTCTACTTCTTTTTTAATTTGCCTCTACCAAGGCAACGTGGCTTTCGACTGCCCCCCAGTCATGACCTACTGGTTTTAGTTGTTCTTCCCTATACTCGACTCATTTATGTTACGACTGCAACTGCGGTGCATGTGGCACGTTCCTGGCAAGTGAATGGATTATTCGTAGGCTGCCAATTGAACTTGAGCCAGATTGAGTAATTACTTCTCTCAGTCTGTCGTGCTGCTTACTTCGATATAAGGTGGAGGATGCTCCTTGCAGGCAGCCTCAAATAAACACTTCGCTTAGAAGGTTGTCCATGTTGATTATCAAAGTATGGCCCTAACCATAAATGTATGCTTGTTCGAAGGTCTAACCGAAAGTGCATGCTTTTCTGTGCGCTAAGACGAGAGTATACACTATCTCGGGGGGCCAGGCAGAAGTGTACACTATTAAAACACTTGGTTTATGGCTGGTTGATGGGCTGCTTGCCAGGACAGTACTAGGGAAAAACATCATTGCCTGTCTTTGTTCTACTTCAAAACACCTCGTTTGGGGCACGCTGCATCTCGATGCGGTGCAGAAGCTGGCTCACCAAGGTAACCTGCTACGCAAGGGCGCTTGTCAATTCGACGACATATCGAGATAGGTGTTGTTCGCCATTTGGAATGGAACAACTGGGACGGTAGACATCTGTTTGAGTAGTGGAAGTGTAATGGACTATGGGTGCAAAGCTGAAGCCATGATGGGTTAGATCTGCAGTAAAGTGGGGTGAAAATACCCTTGGTTTAACCGTTAGCCTTGAAATCTGGATTTGGGCAGGTTGAACTGGTCTGGGACCATGCTGAACCATTTGGTGAAATGTAGAAGCAAGTCAGGCGTAAAAGTTAAGCCGCCTCAATTCGTCCTGCTTGGCCTTGAGTTGGAGGAGCGTTGGGTTCGTGCTACGATGCAACTTGCCTCGCGGTTCACGTGGCTTGGGCTACATGGGTTTGGGCAGCTTGAGTCCAAGTGAAAGTAGTAGGTGCCAAAAGCAGCTGCCTGAGCCTGCGTTTGTTTGTTGCTTGCGCCATGGGCCTCCTGCCCTAAGGTTTCCTCACATTGAATGGAGGATGCCCCGTGGGCCACTACAATGGGGGCTACCATTGCTGGCATGGTCACGGTACCTTATAGAGGAGGCAAAGGAGCGGTCTTTCCCATGGTAAGCTGATGAGTCGATATTATACTATATATGTTACCCTATTCTTAGTTATAATTTAGTGGTTATTTTGTGAGAATTTTGATACTTTGATTTATATTCTTAATGTAGGATATTCGACTTCCTCTGGAGCAAAACATAATGAAACAGACGAATTTTGGAGCGATTGAAATTGGAGGACGTTCATGTGTCTCTCAACTTGTTCGTATCAAAGTTTCATAATTTTCAACCCAGCGGTTTATTTATGGCGATGAAATAAAGGAGCAGTGCGCAATGCTGTCAAAGTGACGTTTTGGGCTTATTTGGGCTTTTTGGCATCCAAGATTGTGTCTTTTGGGTTTGAGGCATTCTGTAATTATGTTTGGGACATCTCAAGCTTTAATTCACGTCGTTTTGGGCCTGTTTTGGAGCCCTGGAAGTCCAAAAATGTGGCTGATTTGTGGCTGGGCAGATTTCCCAAAGTTAGAATAGGAATGTATTTCCTAGTTATCATTCTATTATGTTTCCTGGTTTTTAGAAGACATTTTCAAGTAAGGATTTTAATTATGTAGTAGTATAAATAAGGCTTTTTAGCCATTAGAGAGAGACAGGGGAAGAGAGGAGAAGAACGCATAATATTTTGTTTTATGATTGTTCGTAACTAATTTCCGTTTGCTAGGGCGAGGCCACGAGCCAGCCTTAATGCTTGGCTACGATTAGGATCTTTAGAAAAGTAATTTGATGCAATTTTGGTTGGAGATTGGTCTCTAAAATTGACGAATGCTTCTTGTGGTTAATATGTGCAAGTTCACTTAGGATGAATACCACGTCTTAAGGGTTGTATGGTTTTTCAAAAGGTTTCACAAAACTTAATGAGTTATGCATGTTTAGATTTGATCTTGAATGAATACCACGTCTTAAGGGTTGTATGATTTTTCAAGAGGTTTCACAAAGCTTAATGAGTCATGCATGTTTAGATTTGATCTGAATACCACACACAAGTTGCATGTTTGATATACGCTCTATGTTGGGGGTCCAAGTAAGCCTACTTTAGAAAAACCTAACCTTCAAAATATGCATGTGTAATTCATAAGTAATTGAAAGAACTATGTAGGATTGTTAAGGTGACCGCGGAACCCTAGGCTGTTACAATTTGATTTTCAAAAACCGTTTTCTTTTAGTTATTTTATTTTGTCACTTTATTTAGTTATTTTCTATTACATTCGTTTTAATTATTTGAAATCACAAAATCAACATTTTCTCAAACTTTGTTTTAAATAATTAATTAAAATTTGATTTAACATAAATTATTCATTCAATTCCTGAGAAGAACAACCTTGCTAGAGTCATCTATACTACAATAACATTGTACTCTTGCAAGTATTTAAAATGTTTTTATCCCTACTTTTGTAGGTGGTAAAAATTCTATCAAGAAATTGGCACCGTTGCTGGGAATTGTTTTAAATAATTTATGTTTATCAACTCTTAGTTAATTATTTTTGTATATATCTTTATATTTACTTGATTATTTTTAATTTTTTTTAGGTGACAATTTGTTGATTTTGAAAGCATTGCAGTAATGGATTGGTTTGGATCCTCAGAAGGAGCACCCACAATTTGTGTGCAATTTGAATACCCATGATATTATATATTGTCCCCAACGACAATATTTTCCAAAGTTTGTGCAACACCATATTAATATGAGAAACAATTTTCAGAGACCTAGGTGCGAATCCTACTCAAATTTTTATCCATCATGGCCAGAGCATCAAAATTCTATGTGGGAGTGTATTCAACAGCCTTTTGAACAGCCTCATGCACCAGCAAAAGCTGATTGGGAGATTGCAGTTGAGAAATTGACAGAGAGTATCCTAACAAGGCTTGATCAAGCCGATCAAGAAAATCATAATATTCATAAATCAATGAAAAATCTGGTGCAGCAAGTTGAGCAACTCGTGCAAAAATGGAAAGAAGAGGGGGAAGATGAGTCTCCTAGTCAACCAATTGGTAATCCACAATGTTCAGAGGAATGCTGCGCAATTCAAACACCCCAATATGCAGAGAGTTATGATAACATGCTGGAGACACTAAAATTGAAGAGCCAATTGCACGTGACTCATGCCCAGAGGATGAAACAGCACATGCTGATCTTAAAATCCACCCCAGATCCTTTGGCTACCCAAGTTCATGTGCCACCCAAATCTTTCCCACAAAGGCTGCAGGAAGACATGAGTCTTATTGTGTTAGGGGAGGTTCACACAAACTCAATATCTAATATGTCACCTGATCAGCTTTCTAACACACTGACTGATACGGATACAGGGCAGGTGCCTCCTGAAACAGTTTTTGTTGCTGAATTGAACACTCCAGCAGTAAAGCCCATAAAATTTGAAGAAAATCGGGGCAAGTCCCACAAGCAGGCTGAGACATACAACGAGAAGAAGAAAATATTTTGTGGCCGCCAAATTCCTCGTAGAGAAATTTGGCCAGTGCAGAAATTGTGGGGGTTAAATACAAGATTTAAGTCAGCTTATTGGAGACACAAGCCTCACTGGAAAGGGTCCTATTTGATTAGTCCTATTTGATTACAAAGATTCATTCATATAAAAGGGTAAATATGAAGGATTCAACCACTCACCTGAAACGCATAATTGATAAACATCTCATTCCGTACCTACTTTTGCTCTATGATGCTTCTATGGAGTCGTTGATTCTAAGAGAACGTAAGTGACGTGACCATCAATTGCTTCCTCTACATCTAGCAATTGACATTAACTAAAACGATAATTGAGAGGCAACCCAATTTTCTAACTCTTTTCTTTATTTCGTTTCTTTATTTCGTTCGTTTTATTTTCTTCCCTTTATTCTTTATCAACAAATCTAAAAATATAAAAAAATTGAAAAACACAAAAACATTAATTTTTTTTAGTTAATCAGTATTTTATTTTGGGTTTTATTCTAATTAGATTATTAATGTGTGTTTTTGCAGGTTGCATTCGGATTTGATTGGCCCTAAATATCCAGTACACGCGCACATTCGACTGAATCTTGCATTCAGCAGCATTCAACATCCATTCACTTCAAAATACATTCATTAGCCATCCATTCATCAACACTTATCTGAGCTTTCATCATCAATTCATCAACTTCATGAGATTCAGCAGTGCAGAAATGAAAGGAACGCAGAAACGGAAACAAAGTTGAGGTTCAGAAGTGCTTACAGTGGGGGCGCTGAGAAGACCTATGTATGCCTGAAAGCCCTTTTACTCACTCTCTCACCTTTTATTACATTTCATTACATACAAATTTGGGGGAGGGATCCAAGCAGCACAGAGGCGAGCAGAAGTTCAGGCCTAGCATTCAGATCCAGATTCAAGCACAAAAATTTCTCAGACATTCATCACATGGTACATGCAAGACCAAACAGAAATGTACATGAGTATACAGGAAATTCACAGATTTATGGGTTCGTGCATGACAATGCGCAGCGGCAAACACAAAATTTTTCAGTAATTCAGAATCACAGAACGAGGCATTTAGGCACAACAGAGTGTTAACCTTCATGAATTAGTCAATATATCTTTCTATAATCTTTCTATACAATGCAAGAACTAGAGAGAGAGAGTAGAGATAGAGAGAGAAGAAGTTTCTGTAGAATATCTTTCTTATTAATCAAGTAAACTAACAACCTTGCCTTATATAGGCAGTTACAACACTAGTACGAACTAACTAATACAACAAGATTGTGACAAGTGTCACAATCATGAACCATTGAATGTATATTCTAACATCCCCCCGCAAGCTCATGCTTTGAGGAACCAAGCATGAGATTGAGACAAGGAGTGCGAAACAAAGGACCACTTAAACCTTTAGTCAAAATATCAGCAAATTGTTCTTGAGACGAAACAAATTGCACTGTCAACTGTTTCTTGGCTACCCGTTCGCGAACAAAGTGGACATCAATTTCAATATGCTTAGTCTTCTGATGTTGTACAGGATTAAAGGACAGAGCAATGGCAGACAAGTTATCACAGAAAAGAACCGGAGGTATAGTCATGGGAAGATGCAGAAATGCAAGGAGTTGCTGAATCCAATCCAGTTCGGCAGAAGTGGAAGAAAGAGCTCGATATTCAGCTTCAGTAGATGATCTAGACACGGTTTGTTGTTTCTTGGAGGACCAAGAGATGGGATTGGAACCTAAAAACACAACCAACCCCGTAGTGGACCGTCTGTCATTGGGATCACCTGCCCAATCGGCATCACTAAATGCCTTGAGGTGAAGATCTCCACGAGAATAAGTAACCCCCACAGTCATAGTACCTTTTAAGTACCGGAGAATGCGTTTGACAGCAGTATAATGAGCTACCATAGGCTGCTGCATAAATTGGCATACCTGATGCACTGAAAATGCAATGTCAGGCCGGGTGAATGTGAGATACTGCAAAGCTCCCACAATACTTCTATAAACAGCAGGTTGAGCATAAGGATCACCATCATCTTTGAGAAGTCGACTATAAGGAAGGCATGGTGTGTCACAGGCCTTGGCTTCAAGCATGTCAGTCTTGACTAACAAATCATGAATATATTTAGTTTGGGACAGAAACAAGCCACTGGGAGTCTTGGAAATCTGAATGCCCAAGAAAAAATGTAAGGGTCCGAGATCTTTGATATCGAACTCAGCAGTCAAAGCACGGATAACCTGTGAGATTGAAGATGTAGCATTCCCAGTGATGATGATTATATCATCCACATAAAGCAGAAGGATCACAACTGAATTGCCAACATGTTTGACAAACAAAGAAGAATCTGCATATGTAGTAACAAATCCCAATGTAGGCAAAAACTTTGTAAATCGATCATTCCAGGCTCTAGGAGCTTGCTTCAAGCCATAGAGGGATTTATGAAGTTTGCATACTAAATGAGGAGTAATGGGATCTTGAAAACCAGGTGGTTGGGTCATATAAACATCTTCTTCCAAAAACCCATGCAAGAATGCGTTTTTAACATCCAATTGTCGAAGATCCCAACCAAAGTTTGCAGCAAGAGCAAGTACTAATCTCACAGTAGTGGGTTTAACCACAGGGCTAAAAGTCTCACCATAATCCAAACCAGGTTCTTGACTAAACCCCTTTGATACCAAACGAGCTTTATGTCGAGCAATAGATCCATCAGAGTGTCGTTTGATTTTGAAGATCCACTTGCAGCCAACAAGATTCTTAGTAGATGGCAAAGAAACTAGAGTCCAAGTACCCTGAGCTTTGAGAGCATCCAATTCTTCTTGCATGGCCTTGAACCATATAGGACTTTTAAGAGCCGACTTATAAGTGCTTGGTTCAATTTGAGACAAATCAATCCCCTCAGAATCTTGAACAAGTGCTAGGAGAGCCTTCTTCTTAAAAATACCACTTTTGCTACGAGTTTGCATTGGATGCAAATTAATTGGAGGAATATCCAGAACAGGTTGCAGAGAATCAGGATGAAATTCAGTGGTGTCAGGACATATTATAGTATTTGAACCAGGAACCACAGGGAGCTGAGAGGAGAATGCAGGTGTACTAGTAATGGACTGCGGATGAGGTGAAGAAGCAGGAGGATTAGCCGGGATATGAGAAGAGACTGGTGAGGGAGACACAATAACATTGTTTGTATTAACCACGGCAATGGGAAGAGAAGAGGAAGAAATAACGGATGAATTAGAGTTAGGAAGAGTGGAATGTGCCAATAAGTCTCCATAAGGAAACTGGTGTTCATCAAACAAAACATGCCGAGAAATGTAAATCCGGTGCTTAGGCACATCATAACACACATACCCCTTATACGAAGAAGCATAGCCTAGAAAAACACATCTGGTGGTTTTGGGTTGAAGTTTGGTGCTGTTGAATGGTTTTAACAAAGGAAAACATGCACACCCAAATATTCGAAGATGTGATAATAATGGAACACTGCCAAATAAAATTTCAAATGGGGACCTGTGTTGAAGAATAGCAGTTGGCATTCTATTAATAAGATAGGTAGCAGTTTGACAAGCATAAGACCAAAATTGATGTGGCAGTTTAGCAGTTTGCAATAATGTCACAGTGGTTTCTATAATATGCCTATGTTTGCGTTCAGCTAACCCATTTTGTTCAGGTGTGTATGGACAGGACTTATGATGAACAATCCCTTTGGTCCGCAAGAAAAATTGAAGCCTATGACTCATAAACTCTCCCCCCCCATCACTTTGCAAAATCTTAATCTGTGTAGAGAACTGAGTAGAGACAAACGAATAGAATGTAAGAAAGGTAGAGTACACATCAGATTTGTTTATCAATGGAAAAAGCCAACAATGTCTGCTATATTCATCAATGAAGATTACATAATATTTGTAACCATCAACAGAAACACAAGGTGCAGGACCCCATAAGTCACTGTGCACAATTTCAAAAGGCTGAACAAACTTATTGACATGAATTGGAAAGGGTAATTTGCTGAATTTGCCTTCAAGACAATGATGACACAAAACAGAGGACTTAGAAGAAGTACTATGGATATTGGCTTTATTTAACATAATAGAAACCACATGGTTGGTTGGATGACCTAACCTATGGTGCCAAAGCTGAGATTTAACAAGCTGTCCCAGAAAAGCTTTTGCAGGTAGAGGACCGTGTGAAGTGCCGGAGTTGAGATAGGACAGGGAATGAATAGGATAAAGTCCATTACTACACAACCCTTTGTAGAGAATCCTCCCTGTGGCCTTGTCCTGAATCCAAAAACAAAATGCATCAAAGATTAGCCAACAATTATTATCAAGGCAGATCTTATGTACTGACAATAAATTTTGTGTTAGCTTAGGAACATATAACACAGAATTTAATTTGATTGGTTGTGCTGGAGTATGAATGATAGAGTTCCCAATATGTGAGACTTGTAAACCTTCACCATTGGCAGTTTGTATGGTCTCATTGGTCGGATAAGGGGAGGCCAGGGATAAGTTGCTCATGTCAGCCGTCATATGATTGGTTGCTCCTGAATCAGTCAGCCAAACCTGTGGAGGTGCAGATGGAGTGGCAGTTTGATGTGTAGAATTGAACATAGTGTGCATAGCATGCATTGGAGATTGTTGTAGCTGAGGGGTATGTTGCTGTGGAAACCCTTGATATGAATACTGAGAAGAAGGAGACAGCATGTGATGGTTAGGAGGGGCAGATGGAAACCCAGATGAATGTGATACCCGAGGAGAACCAATGTAATTAGGTCCCTTATCATTGTAGAAACAAAACCAAGTCAAATGATTTGTTTTCCCACAAATTTGACAGCCATGCCTGTCAGGAGGCTTGGCATCACAAAATGGAGCAGTGTGACCACCACTGTTACATAACTGACAGGTAAGAAACGAAGGTGTGGATGAAGGCCCCATGGAAGATATAGGAGAGTGCCCAAGAATACCGGATGCATGAGAAGATGAAACAGGCGCTGGACCTGAGTACACAGATCTGGGATTGAAGAATCTGTGTCCCTGATACTTGCCTTTGCCCTTATTTTTATGCCCATTGAACACCTTGTAACCGCCAGAGGCAAATTGGGATTGACCATGAGTATTGCTAAACAACTGTGACGAGGATGATGCATTTTTAGACTGAGAATTAGCAACCATAGCAGTCATAAAGGGTGCAGCCGAATGATTCTCAACAATGACTTCTTCAGCAAGTAACTGTGCCCTAAAATCTTTCAAGGAAATGACACTTTCACGACCTCGGATGACACAACGAAAGGTATTGTATTCAGAGGGCAAGCCATTAAGAGCTAATATTACAATATCCTCATCCTGAAAGAACACTCCAGCAGCTGACAAATAATCCCTAGCTTCTTTAATTCGTTGGAGATAAACAGAAATGGAATCAGACCCCTTTTTAATTGTCTGCAAGTTCGACTTCATCTGAAAGATACTTGTTTTGGAGACAGTAGAAAATTGCTCCTTTAAACGAGTCCAAAGATCTCTCGAACTTTGACTCCCAATAGCACATGACATAGCCACAGGTGATAGGGTCGCAGTAATCAATTGCATTATAGCCCTATCATGCATTCTCCAAATTACAAAAGCATCATTCTCAGTAGAAGTAGAAGAAACAGAGGGATTCATACCAGATTCACCAGTTTGTGAGAGAGTTGGAGACGGACAAGGATTCAAGCCATCCACAAAACCCATAATACCATTGCTTTCCAGCAAGAGTTGCATCTGAAAATGCCAATTAAGGTAATTGGAGTCATCAAGCTTGACATTAACGGAGGTCGAGATCGACGAAATAAGATTCGTAACCGGAGATTGAAGTAACTGAAGTTGAGATGCAGTCACCATCGTTTACACAAGATTGCAGATTCGTGAATTTCAGTCAGGAATTTTCACAAACACTTGATGAGCACTGCTCTCGGACACTTAACCAGAAATCTATTACAATGAAGAATCGACAACAAAACCGTATAAACCACAAGGACGACTCAGTCCAATCAGAAAAATCAGAGAATATCACAGATAAGAAGGAGGAAGAAGCGGAAGCAAGAAGGATCGAAGATCACGCGTCAGCATCAATGGCGAGTGATACCATGTTAACCTTCATGAATTAGTCAATATATCTTTCTATAATCTTTCTATACAATGCAAGAACTAGAGAGAGAGAGTAGAGATAGAGAGAGAAGAAGTTTCTGTAGAATATCTTTCTTATTAATCAAGTAAACTAACAACCTTGCCTTATATAGGCAGTTACAACACTAGTACGAACTAACTAATACAACAAGATTGTGACAAGTGTCACAATCATGAACCATTGAATGTATATTCTAACACAGAGCAGAGATAACATTTTTGAGGCAAACAGAGATTTCACCTTCGCTTTTTTGTGGATCTGGGAATAGGATCAATGTTTTGCTCTGAGAATGGAGGGTTTAGGTATGGATCTGTGAGATCAGTACTATCTTGTCTCTGGTCTTTTTCCATGTTCCTACACGGATCAAACACATGCATGCGTTATTCCATTATCATTTTTGAAATCCAACAGTAAAGACAAACTTTGGGAAGGCGGAGTGGATTTTACCTTGAATTTTCTGGTGTTCGTATGGTCTTGCTGTGTGTTTGGGCCTGCAACTTCGTTTGCAGGTGTGATGGACCATTTTTCTGAGGTTTGGACAGAGATACAGCTATGGAGGCACGGCTGGGTTTCTGTTTTTGGGTTTGACAAATCCAGGACTATTGGAAGATTTTGGAATGACTAGAGAGCTAGGTAGAGATTGTTTTGGTTTTTGGTTAGAGAGAAAGTAGAGACAAGCGCCCGAGGGTTTCCAAGCTTAAAATGAGAAATGGGCAATGAAACGGCTGTGCTCTGGGTTTTTTATGGTGCACATGTGCACTTGCAGGCGAAACCCCTTCTTTTTTTTTCTTTGTTTTTCTTTTTTTTTTTTTGTCAAAGGTAAACTTTATTAGATTCTAACTTAAACATTTACATCTTAAGCAAGAATATTAAATAAAAACTCCGGACCAATCGCATCCCAACGCAAAGCACCTCCATGTGAGGCTACATATGAGGCGACAACATGCGCAGCGGCATTCCACTCCGCTTAACAAACACAAACCTTACCCTTCCTAATTGAGATACCAAAAGACCAATATCATGAATAAAGCATCCCAAAGTAGCATCGATCACATATTCTTCTGTAAGCATTCGAATAAGCACCTGAGAATCTGATTCAAGCTTCACATCCGCACAACCCAACTCGATACAAACCCGCAAAGCTGCTCGGATCACAGCAACTTCAGTCATCAATGTTGAGTTGAAGAACACACCTCTTTCCCCACCAGCCACTTACAACAAACCAACAAAATCCCTTAAAACCCACCCATATCCACCTTTTTAAGTCTTCCCACACTAAGCCCCGTCACAATTAATCTTCATCACACCAAAAAGTGGCCTCTTCCATCGAAGCCATTGACCCGTGAAGCTTACTTCAATCGCCTCCTCACCATAGCTAACATCTCTTCTCTACCTGCAATGCCCAGCTTGAAACTCCAGGAGGTGTCACCGCACTAAATTCACCATCTCTATGGGATTAACCAGCATGCTGTTAAAGACTATTTCATTCCGGCTCTTCTATATTCTCCACATAACAAACATACACTCCTGCATCAACTCCTCTTATCTTTCATTGTCGTAAAAACAACCACATAGTTCCTGCAAATACTCACGGGAATCCCTACCTGCCATAGATGCCATGTCCAGCTGCAAAAAGCAATAGTACCAAAGCACACGACTAAACGCACATTGGAAAAACAAGTGATGTTTCGTCTCTTTTGCTGCTCCACACATATCACAATTACTATCCACTTGCATTCGGCGTTTAAGGAGGTTGATCCGCATAGCCAAGGAATGGTTACAACACTGCCATATAAAAAACTTCAATTTATTTGGAACCACTAACCTCCAGATATCACCCCAACACCGGTCACCATCATCCCTTCTACTCCCTCCTCCCGTCCCTTTCCTCCCAAGCTCTCTATTTTCCTCCATCTCTATGGCAACACCATATCCCGTTCGAACTGTATAGGCTCCATTATTATAGTGGTGCCATATAAGTCTATCCAGATACCCCATTAAACTTACAAGCAGGCCAAGTATACTATTACCTTCTTCCTCATTAAAGAACCTCTTAATGAGATCTTCCTTCCAAGCACCCCACTTCGAGTCAATAAATGCATCCACCATCACTGGCATATCAACATGTTTCGAGTGCACCTTATATGAATGAGGTCGTGGAAGCCAAGGGTCCTTGTGAATACGAATACTCCACCCATCACCAACCCGCCATCTCAAACCTTTATCCAAAATCTTCCTCCCTTGAATGATACCCTTCCACCCCCATGAAGATCTTCTCCCCTACTTAGCCTCCATAAACGGCCTATCTGGAAAATACTTTGCTTTACGAATTTGACCCAACAGCAACTCCAGATTAAGCAAAATCCACCACCCAATCTTTGCTAAATAAGCTAGGTTAAAAGACAATAAATCTCCAAACCCTAACCTTCCTATCTTTTTCCTTCATTCCATTTTTTTTCCAAGAAAGCCAATGCATGACGCCCCTATCTCTGTTCCCCCTCCACCAAAACTTAGCTATAGCTAATTCCAACTCCTTACAAAGGCCAACCGGAAGCTTAAAACAAAACATCGCATAGTTAGTTAACATCATAGCCATTGATTTAATAAGAACCTCTCTTCTTGCAGGGGATAGAAATTGCTCAGCCCACCCATTGATTCGTTCCTTCAAAGCCTCGCGAACCCCCTTAAAGACAGCCTTCTTCGATGATCGAAGTTAGCGTTTATCCCCAAATACTTACCAAAATACTCATATTGGTACAAGAAACATGTCTCTTCTATTGTTGCCTCGAACAATTAGCCCCAAAATACAAGGAGCTCTTCTCCTTATTAATAACTTGGCTAGAAGCTTTTGCATATCACTTCAACATATCCATAACCTCCTAAACCTCATCTTCCTCAGCCTTACAAAAAATTACAACATCATCAACAAAAAATAAGTGGGATAATGCAACCTCACTAGGTGCCACACACACACCATGAAGAGATCCCTACTTCTTCCTCAGTCGTAACAAATATGAGAATCCCTCGGCACATATAAGAAAAAGAAAAGGCGACATAGGATCACCTTGTTGCAACCCTCTCTGTGGTTGAATAAACTTCGTAGACACTCCATTAATTAGTGCATTATACGTGACTGTAGTGATACACTCCGCAATTTGACAACAAAATTCAATCGGAAAACCCAAAGCTTCCATCATTGCCAATAAAAAACTCCATTCAACTCGGTATAAGCCTTCGCCATATCCAATTCATTGCCACAAAAGCCTCGTCCCTATCACCTTGGTAACTTAGAGAATGCAATATCTCATGCACCACCAATATATTATCCTAAATCTGTCTCCCAACCACAAAGGCTGATTGATTTGGACTAATAAGATGTAGCATAGCCATCTTCATGCGGTTAGTCAAAAGCTTAGCAATCACCTTATAAGCCACATTACATAGGGATATCGGCCGTAATTGAGCCATAGTCCAAAGGCTAGCCACCTTCGGAATAAGAACAAGATGAGTGTGGTTTAATTTCCGTAAATGCTTCCCAGAGAACCAAAACACCTAAACCATATCCACGATATCCTTACCCACCACATCCCAATATTCATGATAGAAACTACCAGTAAACCCATCCAGACCAGGTGACTTATCAGCAGGGATTTGGAACATAATGTGTCGCACATCTTACTTCGTTACTGGCTGCATTAATCTTCTTGAGTCCTCAGCAGACATCCTAGCCTCCACACACTCTTTATCTCCGAAACCCTTATTGGATTACATGTGAGAAAGAGATTTTGAAAATAACTCACTACAATCACATCCATGGAAGAACTTAGTATTTTTATCCCCCTCATAAATCCACTGGACTCGTGATTTTTGCTTCCAATACATCTCTTCATCCCTAATCATGAACTTTAACTTACCTTCCTTACGTCGAATATCTTCAGCTATAAACACCGATGATTTATAAGCCTGTCATAGCTCTTTCTTCAATGCATCAATACAAAACTTCGAATTCAACCCATTCGATCTCCTCCAATTCTGCAACCCACTTGAGTTTCTCTACTACCCGGAATGCATAAGATCCCACGACCCCACGCCTCCAAGTTGTCTATGCAATACCCTACCACTCCTCATCCTTATTCCATTTGGCATCATAAATAAAACGTCTCCTCCAATTGAAAGGCACAACTTCCGTATCCAAAATAAGCATAGCATGGTCAGACCCTTCTAACACTTCGTACATAACTTTCGCCTCTGGATACATATTAACCCATCCATTCATTGCCAATCCATAATCTAACCGTTGTTGTATGGGGTCTTCATCTCTTCGATTCCTCCACGTAAATGGATAGTCAATAAAGCCCAAATCAAGCAGCCCATTACCTACAATAAACTCACAAAAATCCCTTATACTTGCCATGGATCTATAGTTACCCCCTTCCTTCTCTAAATCATCTATAATATCATTAAAGTCACCAATAAGCAGGCACTTTTTTCCCACTGCCTCAATCCTTCGAGACAACACCTTCCACTGCTCCTTCCTTTTATTATCATCCATACTTGCATATATCACAAACAACCTCCATTGTTCATTTTTATTCTCATCATAAATGCCAACTTCAATGAAAAAAATCTACATACTTAACAAGTAATACGTTATCATAATTCCGCCCAAAAATACACATACCACCAGCACTTCCCTACGGTTCAACCGTATGTATGAAATCCATCCCAAGCCTTCTCTTCAAATAAACATAGCGAGTACTTCAATAATTTGTCTAAAGAAGAATCACTACGTCGAAGGTGTGAAGTCTATTATGCTCCAACAGATTATCAATTGTCACGTCACCCCCGATACTCTAACAATTCCAACAGATTAGCTTCATAGGGACTTGGGAGACCCCTTAAGGCTGGTCTCCTCTACCTCAGAAAAAATCAACTTCCTTGGCCGATTAGTTTTGGGTTTAACGCTTCCACTGGCTCTACATACTCCACTTCTTGGAATGACCGTTTTCGTCCCTTCTATTCCATCATCACATACTCAATAAGGGGTACCAAGTCAAAATGATCATCTTCCCTAACTTCATGCCCTCCTACCGAACCTTCATCTACACCCTGTAGCTTCGGACGTCTCTTCCTACCCTTCATTTCACCTACACCACCCTCCCTAGTTTGCACCATAACATTTAGATCAATTTCTCTTCCATTATCCTGCAACACATGAACAAAATTGAGCCTCTCATCTTCCTTCAGCATTGTATGAAAAACCACATTCACTGCTCCCTCCGCAATCACACCTCCTGGCCCAATCAAGCCGTCATCATAAATAGCCTCTTTAGCCTTCCTTGCCTCTTCCTTATCCTTTGTTGACAGCAAATTTTCTTTGCCAGGTTACTACTCATATCCCTTTGTTGACTTGCCGATTCTCGAGTCAAACTTGGTGACCTAGGAGATTCAATCAGTTCATCATTCTTATCCTTTCCATCTTGATCTCCACCACTATTAGACTACACTTGAGACCTCGTTCCAGAAGCCATCACAGCCCGGTTTCTTGTTCTCATATCATCTCATGCAGTATTCATCGCGTTCCTTCATCTTCTCAGACTATTACTTCCACCATTCAACCCTACTACTCCACCACCCCAAAATCCGATTCTCAATGGATTTCCTTGAATATCCATCACTGCATCC